GCCCGTCATGACACGGCGTGGCCGCGCGGAACACCCAAACGGCCCCCCCGGCACACGCTCAGCGCTCAACCAGGCTCCGCGTGTTGTCATACTGCACCCCGATCCTCCCCACACGCGCCATCGCGATCAGCGATGCAAATGGGCACCGTCCGTCGCCAGATTCCCAGGCTGATCGAGCAGCTCTGGAGCGAGGGGGCGGGCAGGCAGGCAGCCACTGCTCAGAGCCTGGCGGAATCGGAGTGGTCGTGGAGATGGGGCGCGGGTTGCCAAGCTGGGTCCGTTTCCCACGGTGGCTTGAGGTTGGCATCGAGTGCCGCGGCGCCGCAGGAGGCCATCGACGCACACGTGAGTGCGGCGGCGCGCCTTGGGGATGGGGCGGAGGGGATGGCGCGCTGAGCTGATCAGGGGGCGCGCATCGGGCACCGCCCGGGGGGGTGGGCTGCGGGTGCCAAGTAGTTTGGGTGCGGGGTGCCCAAGGTGCCTCTCGCTTTGCCTCTGGGCAGGTGATAGAAGGAGTGGCCTCTGCACAAGCTGAACTGGAACATTCGGTTGGCCAAATGCCCCCACTAGCTTTCAGTTTGGCCTGTCTCGGACGGCTGAGCGTCGTCCATAATAATTGAAGAGAACGAGTCGTGGCTAAGAAATGATTGCCTCATGGGGCTCGGCATTTATATCATTGGCACACATTTTGCGAATGTCATCCTGCAGCATTGTGTCATTTGTGCAAATTGAACGGTGTGCAGCTGTCTCAGTCTATTTAGACCACCGATCTTACAGACAATTGTTACATTGGCCTGGTAGCAGGCTGAATTACCTCTGTCACAGGTACATTTATAGAGGGTACACGAGTAACAGTAGTTCCGTGCGCACCAGTATGTGTGACCCCAGGGCCCCGTACTAGCCACCTGCCTTGTTGAGTGCCTCAATTCCAGTGCTGTATCGGTCTGTGAATTTTGCTGCAGGTGGTTCCATTTAGTTGGCTGCAATTCAAGTTTGTTGATCGTGTCCTAGGATAGTAGGGGAGATGGCAATGATCTCTCAATTTCTTTAACAGAGTCTATGCTGGGCATGGAGACTTGGCAGCAACATTGACCTGTGCTTGTTATCAGACAACTGCACATTTGTTTCACTGTAAACAATCATACTGTAAACAGTCATATGGCAACAACTATACCCATGGGACTTTCTAATGCAGGGGAGCGTAAAATTGGCAGAATTCCCAACAAGATTTCCCAGAATTCTGCAGCAATTAAGCCACACCAAGATCAGAAGTCTTGCAACTCTGTTGTCAGTGCATTTGTCAGAATCTGACAAAGTGCTGGCTTTGCACCCTGTTTCCTGGTGCCAGTGGCAGTGCCTGGTGTTGTTTAAGGATTATGACCAAAGTCCAATCGTGGGTCTGTCTGCAAACCATTGATTCCATTTTGCAGCTGTTGTAGGCATTTGTGGCTGGTAGAGGGCCTGAAAATCCTCCAAGGCCTTCACCCAGGCAATACCCACTGGGCTATGGTGGAAGGCAGATCCCCCGGCCACGCACAGGTCAACCACGAAGGCTGTCCCAACAGGTCATGAAGCTGCAGCAGGACATGTTCATGCTCATGCGCAGCGAAAAATTCAAGGAGGGGGTTGAACTTTTTGAGGCCTTTGTGAACGAAGGATTCAAGGCAGGGGCAGAGATGAACCTTCCAAAGGGCCAAGTCCCAAACAACAGGCTGCCGGGGACCTTTCAGTTTCTGCAGTACATTCAATGCCTACAACGGTAGGTGGAAGTTTGTAAATGGCCACTCGAGGATGCTCGCACTAGACTGCATTGTGGACTGACTGGTCTTTGTATCAGTTCTGCTGCTGAGGAACAGGATGGATCACAGAGCAGATATTGGAAATTTTGATCCCAATGCAAGGTTTGGCTGCCTGTGAAACCTGGCTGCTCACACCTTGTCCCTGCCAGTGTTTGCACCTGCACATGTCATCAAAGCGAATTGCCCTTTCCCTGTGTGCTGAAGGACCCAACGTTTTGCCGCAACTTCCATAGAGCATGCCCTCACTTTGATGAAGCAGCTCAGAGTGATGCCAGACGCACGGCACTACATGGAGTACCTGACAGGCCTCAGGAAGTTGGGCATGCACAGGAAAGCTGCAGCAGTAATCGAAACAGAGATGCTCAAAAATTCTGTCGTCCCCAGCATTTCCTGCTATGAGCAGGTCATCTTTGCATGTTTGACTGCCAGGGACATCGAACGGTCGTCCAGGTGAGTAGGGGACATCTCCCTTGTGGCAGATGCAGTACTGTAGGTGTTTTGGATTGCTTTGTAAATATATTTGATCCCTCCAAGTGTATGTGTCCATTCGGTGCTAAAACAAGTTGCAGTCTTTGCAGCATTTGTCTATTTGCATGTTGTAGTGTAGGTCACACGGATGGCTTGCACAGGTGGAGTGCAGGCAACACATACGCTCAGGCCATAGGCAGTACCGGTAGTTCATATGCTGTGTGTCAAAATAGAACTCAGTGTTCTATTGGCAGCAAGGGCCTGTTGTGAGGTACATCGAACTCTTGCAAGTCGTGTGTGTTGCTGCAACACACAGCCTTGGTGCTTGTCTGGAGCTGAAAGCCCATAGGCAGTGCACTGATTAGGGTGCTCAGAGGAGCCTGCCACCACAACGAAGCTTTTGGGATGGTGATTTTTGCGGTGTCTCACCAGGTTGCTCGACGCGGCATTCAAAGGGGGTTCCCGTTGGAAGATCAAAGACCAGAACCGCGCACAGAGCCTTTACACGAGAGTGGTGTCATTCGTATCATCACTGAAAAGGATAGCGAACGCGATGGAGTTTATGAGGCAAATGATGGATCTCCAGCTCAAGATACCGATCCATCTGTATGTCGATGTCATTATGAATGCAGCAGAGGTGATTGCCCTGGTCAAGTTCATTGGCAGGACAGAAGCGTCGCCTGCAGTAGAGCACAGCATGTCACAGATGACATGGTCTTTTGCTGTTGATTGGTCTGTGAATGCTGTCATGTGATGAGCATGCTGCTGGTGGCTCAGATGTTGGCCAGATGACTCAACTAGATGTCGATTTTTAGTTTACTGCCCAGCTCAGAAGAGAACTGCCCACACTGTTTGTCCAGCTTGCAAGAGAAAATGGTAACCGATGATGGTAGGAAGTGCATGCCTCTAAGTCCCATGGCTTGCTGTGGATACAATATCCAGCAGTGTACATGGTAGCTTTTTGCCTATATTTGTGTGACTGGTTGTCCAATTCTGCTCTGTTGTGTATATTTGCATTCTTTGTTGCTTTGGTCAAGCTCCTGACAGTGGGTTGTGATGCACAGGTCAACGATTTTGCTGTTGTGGAGCAGCTGCTGACAGAATTATCCCACAAACGAACATATGTCGTTTGGGTGAGGCAAAGTTCGCATTCCTATTTTTCATGGGACATTGTTATCGCCATTGTTGCTTATCTGGAAAATTTGCATGCCGACACACACAGTTGTGCCTTAGGCAATGCATTGCTTTAACATTTAATACACGGAAGTCATATTCTTCATTTCCTGACAGCAGCAAAATATGTCACAACATGGACATACCCTCCTCAGCAAGATTTGTGACTTGGGACCGTTTGTTGTGGTGCAGAAGTCTTTGAGTATGCCAGGAACAGCATGGAACAGAGTGTTCCATGTAGCAGCCTCTTCCGAACAGTAAAGTCAGTAAAGTGACTAAGTTATTGAGTAGTTCATTATTAAGCGATTAAGTAATTCAGTAAGTCAGTTAGGGGTCGAAATTGCTTAGCTCTAATGCTGGTGCCCTGCATGACAACCCACACAGGAGAGAAGGTGGGAAAGGTAACCATGAGGTGTGCAAGTCCTAGATACTTCAATTTGAATGTGTTGTCTGTGTGATCCCTGTCCACATTTTGTTTGTGGTGGAACGAGGTTCCAATGATCTGATATTAGCTGGCAACATTGCAGGAGGGGAAGCCAGTGAGAATACCAGTAAGGGTGGATGAGGGCGTGTTGTTGCAGGCACTCAACTGTGGTGCACGCATGGGCCAACCTATGCTTGCAGATCTGGTGAGCATTCACAGACAGAAGGCCATTTCACTTTGATAAATCCAAGACTTGACAAAGGGCTGCCCAAATCATTTCAATGTGATGACTGAAAAAAAACTCCATTTTCAGGCTGATACACAGTGTGCATGGCTCTGAATTGATCACAGTTACCAAAATAGGATAATTTGCTACTTGCAGGAGTCCATTGACACAGTTCAGCACAATGACGAATCTTGCCCAGGCACATACAAGAAGATGAAGGAAACAAGTTCATTTGCAACGCTGTTTGGAATTTCTTTTTGTCAGTTCATGGAAATGCGAACCTCCCATGATGCTTGGTGTAGTAGCTGTGGAGAGTAGCAGAGATGCATCTATTGATGCACCAGACAATTGTGCAATACATGCAAACTTGCAACAGTTGGATATAACCAAACTGGAGGTTGGATGCCGTGCAAAGAGAGATGGCATTGGAGCTCCAAAAGACTGAAGTAGCCTTTTGAGACATCCACATCCACATCCAGAATTTCGTACACTGTGTTTTCATATTCATAGTAGCAAGTAGGAAAGCGGGAGCTTGAAACCACACAATAGCTGTGAGCCAACCTACTTTGCAGTTGACTTACGTTGCTTGCATTTGTCAAGAATTAACAACCAGCAGAGTCATTCACCCTGACCAAAGGTGATGCAGGGACAAACAATCTCATTTGCTGAGTTTTTAGCATTTTACTCTTGTTCTGTCCATTGTTTTACTCTCATGGACCCAATGCTCAGTGAGCATTGATGCCTTTTGGCAGTTGCATTTTCCACTGTGGATGGTGCAAGGAGCTGTTGTGAGTGACTGCTGTCAACGATCGGAAGCCCTGACCATTCCCTTGCTCCATCTGCAGTGGATGATATGCGGCTTTGTCATTTGCAGTCCCTGTGTCTACTTGCACCAAAAGAAAGGGTGTGCAGAATTGAAGAGCAGGATGCGGTTGCCACAAAATTTAATACTGGAGGACCCACTTACAACTGGGATTCTACCCAATTCACACAGGGCCTGCACACCTTCTGTTGAGAAGTGGCGAGCATTTGCTCACTTGAATGCGATGCAATTTTCTGAATACATAGAAAATAGGATTCCACAGGGAATCCTCAAAGAACTGCATCTATCAGTATGTTTATTGCCAAATTTGATCTCTTGCATGTTACCAGGCACTTTTTGTGGGACCAACATGGAACATAGTGAAAAAGCAACTACTGTCTTTTGGATTATTTGCACAGATACATATACATTTGATCAGGCTTTGGCAGGAAATGGGCAGAGATCACACTCCAGACATTCTGTGTATGTGTCATTTCCCTCATCGATTTTGAAGTTGCAAGGAAGATTTTTGTCAATTTGAGAAATGTGCTTAAAATATTTGCTCACATACTGATCAGATACCAGGAAAAAACTCTCATGTTATGTGTGTGCACGCCCGTGCAGGCTTGGGACATGCTGCAGACATCGCTCAAATGCCCCCTTTATCATGATATTGCTGCTCCTACAATCAAAAACCATGAGGATGACATGACTGATCAAGAGAGCCTGAAGGTAGGGAAGGGACTGATTGACTGACTTCTGTAGAAGTCTTTTGGAAGTGAAAAAAAATCACTGGGGTTCGGGAAGAGAAGTTGCTGCTACTTTCTGATAATGGTTATGCACCTGTGCAATCCAGTCCATAGGCTCGTTTGTATTGACTCTTGTGTGTTTAGACTGAGCTTCAGTCTGTGGATTATTTACCTGCAAGGTACCATCGCTGTTTTGGTCATTTTATTTCCTGTGTCACTGCGCATGCCCGATGCCCCATTGGCACATGTTGTGTTCTCAAACGGCCATGTGTGTTGCGACCTCTTGCACACAAACAGGGCACATGTGTTGCTTTGTGACAGCCCCTTCCCCATCAAAGGAAATGGTGTGATTACATATTCTGCAGGTGACAATACAGAGCCCTTGTGCCGAATTGGGCGATGTTGTTCCAAACCCTTCAATTGCATGGAATAGCGCATTTCTTCTCGGAGCACATCCACACGTGCAAGCAGCTCAACTTGGGTGTCTTGTCTTTTTGCTGATCTGGTTTGAAGGCAGCACCAGGCCTGGAATCGCAATGTGATGTTTATTGTCCTGCCTAATTTAGAACAACACAGGATCTGTGCCCTGGTGCCTTTCAGCACCTTGCCAGAATCCTTCGTCAAAGTTGTCTTTGAAAGACGAAGTGGTGCCCTTGCACGTTGCAGCAGAGTTTGTTTGTAGCGCAAGATCATCTGCGTCCAGTTGTAAATGAATTGGTATATACACACCCAGCAGCGAGCAAGGGACTCATGCCATCCATGCTGCTGGACCTGGCTTGTTGCGTTTCTGGACAAAAATGCTTGCCTGCTCTGCAGCCCACCATGTGCCTGATATAACCTTGTTGCTCCTGGGCCTGAATGTACATAGTGCATGGCAGTAACATCTTGGCACACGACCAGCAAGGGCTCCAGACAACTGCGCATATCAAGACTTGAACAGAAGAGATAGCATTCTGGTGCACAGCCACATTGCTACTTTGACAGATCGTTCGACTGCAGCTGTTGAAAAGCCATGACAGGCTATGCACTTGCACCCAGCAGGCGATGGTGGGCATGAAGAGATCCAATCAGCTCTTGCCCAGTACTGCAGCTTGGTAGTATGCTAATCCAGGCCATGGCTGAATGTGGTTTGTGGTTGGCCCAGGCACATTTTGTGTGCCCTGGACTCAACGGCATGTGCTTTCGTTGCTAGGTGCTGAAACCGTGCATTTGTGCCATAGATCGACAGCAAAAGTGCAACTGGTGTGAGGACTGATGGTGAAGAGGGTGGGGAGAGCGATGATGTGCAAGAGGAAGATGATGGGCGTGATGACGAGCAAGAGGGAGACGATGGGCTCGAAGTGGTGGACATCAGGCACACTGTGCCTGGCTCACAACAACACCTGGATGACTGGCAGGACATCTTTTCTGGGATGCTTTTAGGTAGGCAAATTTCAGCACGGTGTGGATATGGCAAAGTCAGCCCAGATGTTGTTGCACACATGCCAATCACATCGGACAAGTGCGATGGGCAGCAGAAATGGTGCTGTCCCAATGTACAGCATACCAAAGACACAGTGGTGTATGTGTATAAGTTATTGTTCGCCCAGGCGCCTTTCTGCGGCATCTCATGTTTCGTCACAAGCATGGGCACTATAATTTATTGTGATTTTAGCTTGAATCCAGCATGATGGTGAGTGTGCATAGTGTGCGTGCACACTTGATAATATCAGAATTGCCAAGGATTGAATGGATCCACTGTACACAGTTTGTTTCCATTTCTTCTCTTCCAACTTTGCATCTGTCTTTTTGCTTCACAAACACAACTTTTTCTTGTAGTAGCTGAGAGGTGTTATGCTGAATGGGGCACCTGCAGATCACCCTCCCCTCATCGCAAGCTTCCACGCCTACATCGAAGCACAAGCAAAGGCTGGCAACATTGAAAAAGCATTTGTGGCCATCAGGCGCCTGGAAGAGTGCCACCCTGCCAACACAGAGGCCCTGTCTCCAGCACAGGGGCTCTGCATGGTGGCAGATGAATTGGCCAAAGATTCAAGTGTTATTGATCAAGCTCGCTCTGTGGTATGTGGGGCTGCTTTTGATTTTCTTATGTAGCCCAATATGATCTACTGAACTACTTGAAGTATATGTCAAGCACTCATCTTCTGTTGTTGTTGGGCTGGTAAATCGTTTGATAGCATTTTGAGGCATCAGCAAAAATGCACAGGTACTTGCAAGATGATGAAGTGCAGTGTGAAAGATATGATTTTGCTGCCTTGTACTGGCAGAAATGCTCACCTCCAGAATAGTGCTGGGCATGCGATGGGTTATGGTTTACACTGCCTCACTGTCAGTCTTACTGTGAAAGGCGTCACTTCTGTGTGGGCAGTTTTGACATGAAGGGACATGCTCGCATGATGAGCTTTTTTCTGGCAGCAGATACCCTAATGTGCCTCTGCACACTGACTTGGCAATCTAAAACGTCCTGCAGCTTGAGAAATGGAAGGAATCGGGAGAGAAGCTCACGGTGGCCATGATGGATGCCATTGTTGCAGCATGCTCCCGCATGTCAGATGCCAACAGCGCCTTTAAGTCGTTTGAAGCCTATGAATCTCTTGGCCTCAAGCACAGGACCGAATCGTACAACTCGTTGATGGAGGTCTGCGCCAGGCAGCGCCAGGTGGATGTTATCATGAAGCTGCTGCAAGAAATGGCAAATGAAGATGTGCAGCCAAATGTGGACACATACACGCAGGTGAGCACCCTGCACAGAAGTGCCTGTTATCCTTGGGATGTTTTCTGCTCACAATTTCTACACCAGATAAAACCTTAACCATGTCACCTCACGATGTAGACAAGTTGGCCACATGGGCAGTTGCAAGTGTACTGCAGCATCCACACCCCATACATCATGCACACAGATACTGGCACACATTGGTACAAAGGTCACTGTCCCAGGCGGTGCATCATGTCTGTCTAAGCGATTCAGATTGCAGTCCTTTCCTGACATGGGTGCATATGTGCGATTTCTTGTCTCTTTCATGTGCAAGGTCACACTTGTGGTCAGCAAGACTGGACTCTGCCGTTGCTAACAAAGGGGGGACGTTTGGCCAATTTCTGGAACATTTTGCGCAGAGGACGAAATAGAAGCTGTGAGTACAGAGTGAATATCAACGCATCCTGTCCACAGCACGTCCAACTCCACAGCACCATGATCTTAGGTGACCCATCTTCAAGAACCACGTTGAAAACATTCAACAAAGTATGGCACACACTGCCGTTGTGCCTTTACCCCTCTTGACAAATCACAATATGTCATGGAAAGCTGTTGTTGTGGTTTGCTGGGATAGGAAGGTGCCTTATGACTAATTAGGGTCAGCATGCCAGTCATAGCAAAATGGTTGACCCTCAGCCTAACAATGAATTCTCACACCCTGACCTCATTAACCAGTGCTGGTTGTGGCATTCAGATCATCGAAGGGTACATCAGCAATGGAGACACGATCGGCATTGCCAACACTCTGACAATCACCCGAAACGAAGGCTTTGCTCCCACCCTTCGGGTGCTGGAGAAGGCCATGGCGTGCGCCGAGAGGCAGAAAGACCCTGACCTGCAGCAGCTCATTCGGAAGGAACTCATGGCGGCAGGGCACCGCTTTGGCATCCAGCAGAGGCCCTTTCCCTTCAGGGGAAGGGGGGGCAGGCAGGGAGGGCGGAGGGGGGGTGGCAGGGGCCGATATGGGGCCAGTCTTGAGAGCACTGGGACAGATGCCAGTGAAGGTGAGTCATCGGCAGTGTGCTTTTGAGGAGGAGCGGAAATGCCACAAAATGTTCAACCCTTCTGCATATTAATGTAGCATTTGGCCTTTTTGTGCAGAGCAGTGATGAAAACGTAACGGTGCCAATAAAGTGTAGAGCAGCCCCAACTCCAACGCGAGGGTTTCTGGACTGCTCATGGCATTTAGCGACCCCAGATCGTGAGTCGCTGTGGGGAAAACCAACATTTGAGGCCATGCAAACTCAGCAGAGTCGCCATTCCGGCTGTGACCAATATACGGAGCCCCCAAAATAACGGCTTGGCGAAAGAATACAGAGCAAAATAGTAACTGTGGAATTGTCTGATGCATAAGGGTTGGATATTTTGCGGTAGATGAGCAAAGCCGCTTCAGGCACCATTGTCTGCCACAGTGAAATGCTGTGTAAACGCAAACTTGGCTTTTGATGTTGCAACGTACTGTCCAGAGCTTGAGACTGCAGCCTTTGACCTGAGGATGCCCCACAAGTACCACAAGGGAGCATTGTGAATGGCATTGCCATTATCGGCCACATGGCAGCAGATGCGGATGGTGTCCCAGTTGCGACTACTTGCCCGCCAAAGCCCACAGTAGCCTGCTAGTACTTTAAAACACTGAAGCCAGGCAAGGCAAATGTCAGTGACTTGTGCACAATGCACACATGCGCCCTGGCCTGGGGCCATGTGACTGTCTTGCCATGGCTTTCATGCAGAACGCCTGGGCAGGAAATGTTGATTCATCACAAAGATTTAAGCTGTCCTGAATCTCTGCAACAGATTGCCAGTGCTTGTTGCCCTGCCAGTACATAATTTGCATAGCAGCAGTGACATTTTGCCCCGTTATACGTTGCATGGCACTGGAACACGAGCAGTTTCAGTTGAATAGTGTGGCCCTGATCTACTTACCTGGATTTGTGCCCTTGTTTCTGATTGTATTTTCAAATGGTTTCTTGTTTAGATGGAGAGGACTCCCCAAGCACCTCTGCCCCAGGTGTCACGCATTTGTCATCTGCCGACGGTGGAGAATCGGAGCGCATGGCACAATTTGGTGGCAAAGGCAGGGCGCGATTTCGGGGTGGATATCGAGGGGGTAGAGGCAGCTATCGGGGCGGCTACCAAGGTGGGGAGAGGGGTTTCACACCTCGCAAGATTCAACTCGGCTACTCTGAGACTGACATGGCTGGGACAGGCTACATGGATTCAGGAGTGGACAGTGCAGTGTCTCCTGCCAATGCTTCGATGGGGCAAGAAGAACTGCAGCTTGGGATTGCAGCGGCAGAGACCCCTGTTCCAGCGCCAAATGTGGAGCAACCTGTTCCAGAATTGCAAGTGGAGAGATCTGCTCCAGGAGCGGATGTGGAGAGCCCTATCCAAGAGTCAGATTTGGCGAGCCCTCCAGCAGAGTCGGATGTGGCACAGGCAGGCCCTGGAACTGGGGCTCCTGTGTGATTGTTATGGGCTGGCAGAGCGCTTGTCATGTTTCTGTCTTTAAGGATGCTGGTCACTGGAGTGCATGGATGCAATCGAATCACAGCCTGCCGTAGACTCACAGACTGCCTTTGCCATTGGGTAGACACTTTCCATTACCTGACATGCAAACAGGCCATTGAGATGATGAGAATTTGAGAGGCATAAGTGCTATTAGTATCCACTCAAGCAGCAGCAGAATCTGCGATGGCAAAACCCCCAGTGCGGACTCAGCCTGCAGGTGTTATGCTGGCAACCAGGTGCAAGTTCACAACAGTTCGCAGTTGATGCACCGCAATTGTAGCCTGGCTAGCCCGGCGACCCACTTCTTGCCTGCGCCCTATGCGCTAGAATGCAGATTGCTGTGTGTTTAGGGATGACGAACAGGCTTGATCGATGCCAGGGACCAGGGATTGTGCGGCTTTAGGGGCGAATGGCCCCCTGCAACGCTTATGCGCACTGGTGCTGCCGAGCGTGACGGCAGAGAACCTGCTGCAAGGCTTGTTGCACAGAGAACGTATTATGCCAGGGATCAGCATTTTGTTTGGATACCCTCTTTTAGAGTTCTGTGATTGTCAAGCAACGGTGCCTTCTCTGATCGCCTAAGGCTGCATTATGGCACTACAACGTGTATGTTTCTACCTCGATTGTGGCCCTGTCACAGTGACTATCACTCGTAGGTTTGTTGGCACAATCAAAGCTACTGAGGTGATTGGCTAATATTTGTGACTTGTGTGTCGGTCTTGACATTGCCTCGAGTGGGCAATCCTGCAGGTGGCTCCCTTTTTTGGCACCCTTGCTTCGGGGGCCCAAACTGTGCAGCTGCATGCAGCCAATCCAAAGTGCGTTTCTGTGTGCGCAACACTCTACTCGTGATGGTGTACGCCACACGCAGCACCAGGTGCGTGTGAAAACTTATTGCCTCACAGCAACTCTCCACAAAACAGCGTCAGAGTGTTCAGCCATTCAACCAGTCAGCACTCGTGGAAGTAAATCTCTTGCGGCATGGTGCGATTTCTGGCAAACTGCATAGAGCGAGAGGGCCAACTCTCACAGGCGTAAATCGCTGCAGCGGCAACTTCATGGCGGCAGTTGTGGCAAAGAGCACAGACCAATCCATTCACATTGGCTTGCATCTGCTTCACGCATCTGCGATTTGTCGCAGAATGGGGTGGGTGTGTCCTCAGTGCCACACCTCGCCTATCCCGTTGTTCATGCTGCTAATGCAAGCTGGCCATCCACTAACCATAAAGCCGTGGAAGCAACTTGCAGCTTCGTTCGAGATCCAGCGCCCGACCGGTCGCCTGTTCCCATAGCATGTACTCACCGTGGCTCCTGAGCGCCCTCCGTACAATCTTGCGCATCACCAAGCCTTCACATTGTGATGTAGGCACCACAGAACAGCAACTAACGTCGAATCACAGAGTCACATTTGGAGACCGAGTATCAGATAGGTAGCGTCATGGTCATTCCAGGATAGCCACCCAGGACATGCAAGGAGCTCGAAAAACAGGAAATGGCCGTCCTTGGGGTGCAAGGATAAGGCTTTTCAAAACGGTCACAAGGATGTCCTTACGCCCAGGCCCGTTCACCCCAAAGTGACTAAAAGTTTGCTCATGCATCTGCCATGTGCTCGCTGTTGCTAACTAGTGCAAGATACCGGATTCTTGAAGGAAATGGCCGTTGATGGAATTAACTATCTTGTTATTAGGTTTCCGCCCAGGGCGACGAGGGGCGGGCGTGCTGGCCCCACTTGGGCCAGCGCTGCTTAAGTACATTGGTTTTGGCGGCCCCTTGGGGTTTTTGTCCCCCTGTACCTTGGGTCAGTGGCCAGTTCGTCGCGTTCGAGGGCCAGTGATTTTTGGCGCCCTTGGGAGTGGCGGTCTTTGGCGGGCGCGAACGGGGAGGCTACTTAGGCTCACCCCTCGGTCCCACCTTATCTTGTTTCGCTTCGCGCCAAACCTTGGCACAACCCGGACCCACAGAGTGGGTCACGACCTCCGGCCTTTGCCGAGTGCTTGCCTATGAACCCGTCCCCTGCGGAGCAGTGGTGCCGGGACCAAGCTCGCCGGTTCAACAACCGTATTCCAACCTCCGCTATTGAAGCCTACTGGTTGCCCGACCCGGCGCTCCTCCCTCAGTCAGTCAACAACCCGGTCGCCCGACCGGTGGGCGCCCGCTCCCCATACTGGTTTGACATCTGCGACATCGCCGAAGGGAGCGCCGTTGCCAATGCCTTGGGCGCGAACTCCGGGTACTTCCAGGAGTACGCGGGCTGGGCGCCTCCGGTCCCCTGGCTGTTCGACATGACTACGGCCTTCGTGGAGGTGGCCGCCCATCCAGATTTGCCGGCGTCCGTATGGGGATTCCTCCTCCCCTACTTTTACTCGTACGTGGAGGTCACCGAGGCCCTCCATGACCAGCTTTCCTTGTAGCGCATCCATGCCAAGCACAAGGGCTCGGGATTGGAGGGATCGTGGCGGGCCATTCAGGTGGAGATCCGCCTCGCTGACCACGGATTGCGCTTTGGCACCGCTCGCATCGACGGGACCATCGAGCGCATGCGCAAGGAGCTCCTGATGCAAGAATTGAAGCACGCCACCAAGACCACGGCCGCCAAGAAGTCTACCTCCCCCCCGTCGACCTCGGCCCCCTCGACCGGCCCCAAGTCCCACAAGAGAGCTTGCGCCCCAGCTCCATTCCCCAAGCCGGCTCCGTGAAGGACTTCCCGTACAATCGGGTCCGAGGACGCCTTTCGGCGTGGCGCCGGATCGGCGCCCCCTCCCGCATCCTCCAATAGATCCATTCGGGGACTCCGCTCCTGTGGGGACCGCGTGGACCCCCGGCTCCCTTCGACGAGGGCTCCTACCCGCTCCGCTCTTTGGAGGAACGAGCGGCATGGCAATCCCTCCGCGCGGACTACCTCTCTTCGGGGGCGATCGTCAAAATGGAGCCGGGTCCCACGTTGCAGATTTCTTGGGCCTTCCTAGTGGAGAAGGGGCATGAGGATGGCGTCATGAAGTACCGCCTTTGCATCAACTTGCGACGGGTCAATGGTCACCTTCGCAAGGTGGGCCTTCGTTATAAGAAGTTGCATGACTTCGGTCACTTACTCAACCGTCATGACTCATTGGTGGGATTTGATATCAAAGATGCTTATCACCATCTGCGCGTGTGTAGATCGGAGGAGTGTTTCCTTCAATTTTGGATGGGAGATGAAGTTGTTGCTTGTCGGGCCCTCCCCTTTGGTCTTTCCTTGGCCCCCTTCTTTTTCACCCAGTTTATGCTTGTTGTGGGCCGTTTCTTGAGGTCCCTGGGCAGTTGCCCCAAGGCAGCTCGACATTTCCGTTTTGGACGCTTAGCGGGGGATGACTCAATAACTACATACTTTCGGGTGTACACTAGAGAACCGCCAGCCATCCTGCTGGCTTATCTTGATGATTTTTTGGCGGCTATGTATGATGCCGCCCGTTTGACACGATTTCCTGGGTTTGTACGGGGTGAGTTTGCATCGCTGGGAATCCAATTCAAGGAGCGCAAATGTCAATGGACCCCCGTCAAGCGCAAGAAGCATTTGGGGGTGATTGTGGACACGGCCCATGGCCGTTTTGAAGTTCTGCCGGAGAAGGCCGCGTTGGTCACCAATCAGACCCGAATTTTGCGTTCTTGTCGCTGGGTTGTGGCAAGGGATTTGGCCCGTTTTTGCGGTCTGGCCATTTCCCTATATTTGGCGTTTCCCTTGGCCTGCTTCTTCTTGCAAAGCCTCTATGCGGTTCTTCGTTCCAAGCGTAGTTGGCGGGACCGGCTGATCCTCTCCCCCCCAAGCCCGGTTGGACTTGGAGGTGTGGGTCAACATCCGGCACTACGAGGGTCGACCTCTCAATCCCGATGCGGTCCCCTTCGCCGGCACTCTGGCCACAGATGCTAGTCTGACCGGTTGGGGGGCCACCTTTGCTCCCCCGGGGGTGTCCCGCCCCCTCTTTGCAAGGGGTTTTTGGGACCGTTCCTTGACGCACATCAATGTGCGTGAGATGCAGGCGGTGGAGCGGGCTATTCGCAGTTTTTTTCCGGCTGCTTCCCATGGCCTTCCTTCGAGGCTCAAACTACTCGTCGACAACCAGGTGGTCATGTATTGCCTGCGCAGCATGACTACTCGCTCCAAGCAACTCCTCCGCCCCCTCCGTCAGCTGCACCAAGTTTGTACGGCGCGCCACCTCCTGCTCGACCCGGACTACATTCGGTCTGAGGACAACGTGATACCGGACCGTCTGTCACGGATTCGGGTGGCAGACGACTACCAGCTCCACCCGACCATTTTCCGCAGGCTGACTCAGTGTTTTGGTTGCCGGACGTGTGACCGCTTTGCTTCCGCGGCGAATACCCTCTGCCCCAGGTACAACAACCTACATGCGGACGTGGGGAGCGTGGGGATGGATGCCTTTCTCCAAGACTGGACGGGGGACGCCAATTGGTGCAAACCCCCGTGGTGCCTCCTTCCTCGCCTCATCTCCTTCCTCGCCGCTCGGCCCACCATGGAGGCCATCGTCGTCGTGCCGGATTGGCTGAGCACGCTTTGGTTCCCGCCGCTCCAGACTCTTGCGGTGGAGGAGCTTCTGATTCCCCGCCATCCGGGCATGTTTCGCCCCAGGGGTCCAAGTCTTCCGGCGGTGCTTCCTCCGCCGAAGTGGAACCTCTGGGCGTTTCACATCCACCCTCGGACGGCTCCTTAAGCACGGGTGCTCAAAACCCCGCCGGGGAGGTTGCCCACCCCCCGGATGACCCGCTGCCAGTGGAGCCGATGCCGGCGGATCACCCCCTCTATGGGCTAGATGTGGATGGTCTTCTTTAATCGAACTGCTCGTGGATACGGTCCGAGTTTTTGTCTTTCTACATGGAGACGACGCGGCGTTCGATGCAGGCCAAGTTCGCCAAGTTCCAGGCCTTCTGCGCCTCCGCCGAGCTCCAGGCGCTTCTTGCCCGCT